AACGTAAGTAAGTCCTTGCGCAGGCTTGCAGCCCAGGTCAGCCACCACCGGTTGGTGGTCGGAGCTGAGTTCGTTCAAGGCTACCGGCACACTGTCGAGGGTAGTGGACTGCGATGAACTGGACGTATCCAGTCGACGACTCCACCTCCACACCAAGGGTCTCGATGATAGAAGTGTGGATATGGGACAGACTGCGGTATTTTATCTTTTTCGTGATGATAATCGCAACACCAAACCCCCCGGGAGCTGGTACGTACAAGGCGAATGATGTTGTGGTCCGGCAACCACAACTTGGGTCTTGGTGAGGAGGCCCACGTCGATGTTGTGCTTGCGGAGGAAGTTCGCAAACTCGATGGCTCTTGCTCTTAAGGAGCAAGCGTTCCAGGTGACGATAGTTAGCGGTTTAGACGCCATACTGGATGATAAACTTACCGAGTATTTGGATCTACTCGGGCTTATTGCGGCACTTACGAAGAGCACCGGTCATGTTGATGAAAATTTCCATCTGTTCATCCGCTGAGAACAGATCGGGGTTGTTGTTTTGCATTGTTGGTTGACTCCAGAATCCCAGGGGGATGGATAGCTTTGTCCAGCAGAAGATCCAGACGTTTCTTGAGGGGAAGTGGATCGCACCCGTGAATTCACTTGTCCATGAAGAGGCGGAAAGTCCTCTGTCCTAAAAACTGGGGCCTTATCCTTCCTTCGTTGTGGTTGATTGTTTATGCACATGTTCATGCAAGGGTAGCCGATTGAGGATTGCTTCTAATGCTTTTGATGGGGTGCTACGCATCGCACCCGTTATTGCAATGCATGCTAGACGTTGAAGTTTTGCTAGTTTCCTCTGTGCAGTAGCCTCTTTTGATTTTGGTCACCACACTAACGAAGCATACGACGGATTTCACGCCAACTCGTCTTCGGAGTTGGCAGCACCCTCTCAGAACCTTATGAAACTTTGTGGGTGTGGAGACTTAGCAATTTTAAGCAACTTTGAGTACTTATTTTTTTCAAAATTTATCTCGCCTAACATTTGATAAGGGTCAAAGTTTTTTGTCGATTTTTTTTTCAAATCGATATAGCTTAAAAATGACAAGCCCTACAAAATAGTGCTGTATGGCGAACTTTTAGCAAATAATCTGAAATTTTATAAAAAAATTTAAATAAATTAAAAAATTGGTTTCTACACTCTAAAAAAATATATTTAAAAATTAAAAGTCATTTTCCCAAAAATGGTACCCCTCAGATTTGCTTGATATTTTTTCTCATGAAAGGCAATATAATTACCTAACTTTTCTTCATACATCGCAAAGTGGGCGCTTTTAAGGAAAAAAAGTTGTTCGAACAACAACTTTTTCATGTTAATTTTTTTTAGCGTGTTTCACTCAAAGTCGAATAGTAATACGCGCACAACCTTATTAAAATCCGTTGAAACTTAATGAGCATAAAGATTTTGACCTTTTGATAATCTGGGCGTGCTTAAAACAAAAATCTAGCCTAACATTTGAAAGGGCCTAATACAGAGGATTTTCCTGCATTTCGCATGGTGTTTTAATAAATGAAAACTCTAGTGTTTTTGTTTAGTGCATAATTTATTTTCCTATAATTCTCCATACATAATTTGAGTTTTTCATTGATTATTAGTCTATCGGAACATCGTTTACGGTACATCGAAGCCGCATCTGAATTTTCCCCATGTTTGTGGAGCACGAGCTGCATAAACCGCATATCGTACAGTCGTGAAAATTTGATAGATTGTTCACCGAGGTTGGACTACCAATCGATCAAATTTATACGATAAGCGGTTCATCCAGCTCGTGCTCTAAAAAAATGTTGAAAATGAAGTTGTATCTTCGATGTACAATCCTTAAACCACACAGTTGAAACAGTTAAAGTTATTATTATTTACCTAGTGTATCATCAAATTCCTGATGTTCTGATTGCTGATGACTTGTTGATGGTTGCGGCTCTTCAAACTTCCGAGCATGGCTTGATTCTTTTCCATCCGATCGCCTCTTTTTCGGGAGAGGTGTCCTATTGTGCACTAAAATTCCACGACACGATTCACAAATACGCATTGTTACATCCAATTGATGATCAAAGCCCCATGAATGTATTTTCTCTATGAGACTTGATGATAAATTACGTAAATTATTGCGGCTGCAATTGGGATTGTTTATGTTGGCACTACATTGCACCCTTTTAATAATCAATTCAGCAGATTTTTCCATTGTTTCCACTTTTTCGTTTCAACAACTATGCAGCACTACACTTTCAACAACTATGCACTACAGCAACTATGAGCTTTAATGTGATATCACCAAACTTAAATATTAGATTATGTCGGTAGAAACAGACTGCGGTGCTTTAAGTTTATACCTTATATCTCTCATGTGACTACCTGCGTTGTTATATAACTGCTATATAGCAGGTAATTTAACGATTATTTTAGGCATGCGCTATTATATGTATTCACTTGAGAGATGAGGTATAAACATATATGCATATTGCTTACTAATGGACACACCTAATACATACAAATAAATGAATGATTATTTTTCTAATTAAATTAATCACAAATACATGAATTGAAATCTTTTCATGAATAAAACATACTAAGTGATTTTTACTTAGTTTACCTGTTGATTTGGAACAATTTGAGGGTGGTTTTATAGAAGTTGGATAGAGTGTATGCATATATTATAATACAATCCATCACAGGAAAGTGCAAACCATGCTGAGATGGCTGTTCCTCATTAGAACGTTTTGTTCTGAACTCTTATTGGACGATTTGCAGGTAACTTCTCTGTACCCTTTTCAAATGTTAGGCTAGATTTCGCCCAGATTATCGAAAAGTATACCCATAAAGTTTAATCGAATTTTAATAAGGTTGTGCGCGTATTACTATTCGACTTTGAGTGAAACACGCTAAAAAAAAATTAACATGAAAAAGTTGTTGTTCGAACAACTTTTTTTCCTTAAAAGCGCCCACTTTGCGATGTATGAAGAAAAGTTAGGTAATTATATTGCCTTTCATGAGAAAAAATATCAAGCAAATCTGAGGGGTACCATTTTTGGGAAAATGACTTTTAATTTTTAAATATATTTTTTTAGAGTGTAGAAACCGATTTTTTATTTTATTTAAATTTTTTTTATAAAATTTCAGATTATTTGCTTAAAGTTCGCCATACATCACTTTTTTGTAGGGCTTGTCATTTTTAAGCTATATCGATTTGAAAAAAAATCGACAAAAACTTTGACCCTTATCAAATGTTAGGCGAGATAAATTTTGAAAAAAATAAGTACGCAAAGTTGCTTAAAATTGCTAAGTCTCCACACCCACAAAGTTCCATAAGGTTCTGAGAGGGTGCTGCCAACCACTGGATGAGTTGGCGTGAAATCCGTCATACGCTACTTTCGGACGGATTATTGATGTGTAAATCCACATTGTCATTTTTGGTTTCAAACCCCACTTTCTTCCAATAGTTTTGTAACATGCCCACAGGGCACTGGTTGCTTCATTAATCACAGAATCAAGCTGAGCATTCCAATTCAACTTGGCGTCCAAAATAACTCCTAGGTATTTGACCTGTTCACTAAGATGGATCTGCTCTCCTCCAAGATTGAATTATTTTAGGCTAATCTTCATCTAGTAAAGGGGATGTTTACGACTTTTGATGGATTAATACTTAGGCCTTCTTTAATGTATGTATGTATGTATGTAAAGGATACCACTCATTGTTGCAAGGCACAGCCATTAGACAGTGGATCATCCTCCAAGTATGACTTGATCAAGTACGATACCTGGTTGTATTCAATTTACCATTGTAAGAAGGGCCAAAAACGGAGGGGCGGACCCGTAAGCAGATACACTTACACGCAATCCGCGGGGTCAGGAGAATCGCCTTCCAATGATAAAATCCTACAACCCGATGTAGAACAAGCCATCATACGAGGGAACGTCCCAATGAGTGGGGAGAAGAGCCCGCCGTCAATTCACGAAATGTTAATGACAGGGAGTTGGCAATTCCACTCTCCCCATCCAAATCGCTTCAATCCGGTGCCCTGGTGGTCCCATCCCTCCCCTTTGCGTTTAATGTGTGTATATATATATATAGTTATATCGGCATTACCCGTTAGATTTTGTCAACACAATTTTGACTTCATAGCCTTTCAAAATCTTTAATAAATGCAAATATTATCATCTGACCTATTCCGCGAGTCGTGCGAATCTCCACCACCAATGAGTCAACAAAAGTCACGCACTAGTGGGATGACTCTCCGTGCAATCAAATGAAGAGTCACCTCACACGAGGCGACCACCGTCACCCTACTAGCGACAGAGAGCCATACTACTCGCAGAACTGGCCTGCAGGTGACGTTTAAAGCTCCACAATTTTACTGAAAATCTAAGAAAATTATTAAACAGAATTTAATAATATAACTGCAGAGCACAAGCAGTTTAAATATACTGAGGACGTGTTGCCAAAATCGAACGGATACTTTATATGTTTATTAATTTATCTTACCTTGATGGACCAACTACTTACCTGTCCTTAATGGTCATAAGCTCCAATCGGTATTTCCCGGTAAATCCGATCACGATCCTTTACAACATTTGGCCGACCTAGTTGGAGGTTACCACCCTACACCAACGCGCATCATCGCAACCACTCAGCACTTTCTTCCTTTTCTCTAAATTGAAGGGCTTCTAGGGAAACTATTTTCTTGATACTTAGGCCTTCTTTAATGCACCAAAACTGGGTAAACTTTAGGGCCCCTTGTATTCTTTCAGAAATGAAAACGTCAAACCTTCCTCTTACTATAATGACTATGTCATCCGCAAAGCCCACAACTTCGAAACCTTTTGCTTTCAGGCTTCTTAGAAGAAGTTTGCTTATGTATGAATGAATACGTTTCGGAAGCAATGCATAATGTATGGGTGATTATTCCAAGCATTTGTTGAACGGAGAGATTAAGGGATACGAACAGCTTAAATTTTACAGTCACTGTTTTTGTTTATTTATTGATTATAATATTTTTCATTATTGTTATAATTGTTCGGTTCGCACTAATTGTACTGCAAAACAAGAAAAGTAAACAAACTGTTGTAGTTAGTTTCCCTAAACGGCTATAAACAGACGTTATTCTTCTACTGCAAATGTATCATACAACATTGACGAATTTAAATAAACGTCCTCTCTATATGTTATCTTCGCAACAAGCGCAAAATCAATCGATTAAGCAGACACTTTATTTGTTTTTTAAGTTTCCTAGTAAATCCGTTCGATTATTTTGATTCTGTTTGTATTCCTAACCTAGAGTTTGAATAAGTTTGATTTAGTTTTGTGTAGCGGTGAAATCGCTTGCTGAGGAAATCAAAACAAAAACTTCGTGTTGAATACAATTTTATGTTAAATCATTATGAATATCATGTTTACATGTCTATTTGTATCGAGAAAGTTTTGTTCCAGCCACATTTGTTGTATTCGAGAACTATGTTTTCCCTATTTTGTAGAAATATCTTCATTTATACAAGTAGAAAACGTGACCGAACAGACGACTTACTAAAGTTGTAACATTTGGATAAAAAATAATAACTCTTACAGACTAAAAATGAAAATCGACGAAACGAAGCGCACCATGGAGTGTGTGGAAGGCTTAATTTTTCAGCCTGGACACGATGATTCCGGTAATAATCATTCCCAGTATCACAGCAATGAGCAGCAGAATGATCACCTTGCGCCGGTACCGGTTCTGATACTCGACCGCCTTTTCCAACTCCGTGTGGCCCGACTCCACATTGGAGACCGCATGTTCGATGGTGTTCTCGATTGTGTCTACAGAAGAAAGAGCGCGTATTTATGTGTTTTAGCAAATCGTTACAATGTGCATTCATAGAACTTACCGATAACTTCGCTCTGCTGGTTGGTGATACTACTCAGTTCCTGCATGATTTGTCTTACGTCCAGTACGTCGGCTTCGATCTGACGCACCCGTTGCTCCCGTTCCAGTAGCATGTCCTGTTCGAACTGCAGATCCCGTTGAATCTGTTGTTGACGGAGGTGCTGTTCCTGCTGTTGCTGCTGGCTGCCTCCAGTAGCACTGCTACCATCGCCGAATCCTATCATATCGCGGTGCATGTCATCCTGCTGGGAGGCATTCACCAGCAGGACCTGCTTCATCTTGGCAGCAATGACCTACGGAATTGAGATATGTATACAGTAGATCTAAAGTACATTTGGGCAAACATACCTGCTGACTCTTGGAATACATCTGAACAACATGGGTAAAATCGGAAGTAAGTTTCTCGACCTGCAGCTTCTGTTGCTTATCACCTCTCCTCACCACCACCGTCAGCCGTTGCAGATCCTTGCTGGTGGTCGAAATCCTCTGGTTAGTGCCAGTTTGAATATCATGCCTGAAACAACGGAAAACAGCTCCATTAAACACATCAACGCCACCCAATCAACCATCCTTACACTTTATCCCGCAGCGTCTGATTATCTTTGGGCGTTCCGATAGTCCGGTTGGCTTTCTCCAGAAACTGCCAGCTCTGCTTCACAAAGATAGTATTGGCAGCGATGGATTCGCTCAGCGAAATGAATTCCGTCGGACTGAACCCGCCAAAGTTGCTCGCATCGGTCGACGACGCCATCGTCGTCACAGCACTACTGCTGGTTGCTCCGTAATCACGTGGTCCACTGCTGGTGCCGCCAGTTCCGCCTCGGGGTAGGCCCGTTCCTTCGCGTGACATGTGTTTCTGACCGCCGCTGGTCGGTGGCAATTCACCGTAAGTCGCGATGTCGAGCTCTGGGTCTCTGCGGAGTTTAAAAATCAAATGAGCTGACCGTGAAATTTTCGGATTGAAAGAAAGCGCACTAATCAGTAAGTGAAGAATTCTTTCACTACCGGGTTTAACGAGAAAGCAGATAACATTACGTTCGGACTCATGCCCGTAGCTGACTAATCAGGTTGATAACAACACCATGCATGTGGTTGCTAGCTAGGAATAAGATCAGTTTGATGACGTGCGTTTGCGTCGGTAAAAAAGTTGTCGTAGGTTTGGGGTAGAATGACTATTAGCTCAATCATACCAAGCTTTGATGATCGTTGGTTTAAGTGTACAGATTGGAGAATTGTGATCGTAATAAATTTACTGAACCTTGAAAATCTGCATTTGTCATCGCCATTCGACGATTTGCGGTGTATATATACTGTATATACAAGGTCAGAAATGATTACCGACTTCGGTAATTTTGAGCTGTTCGGTAAAATTCAAGCATTTTAATTTATTAGATTTCTCGCGTCACTTTTCAAAAGGTTCTAAGTAACAAATGTAAACAAATTGAGTTAAGCGATGCAAACTATTGCTCTTCTCTCATTGTATGTGATACAAAAACACCCATCCAAATTTACTTTCATTTATTTGAGATAATCATAGGTCAAAAATTGTCCAATGTACAATTTGAAATGATAGGTACATGATTGTTACTTCGGTCATTCGGACTGCCTAGCATGATTGGTGCTCATTTTCTAAAGGCGGGGCCAATCTAAATTTAAGTACTCTACTCTGAAATCTGTGTAAGGGAGTCATGTAGTATCATGTAGAACAAAACGTCCAATGTACCACTCATTGATTATGTCATTGAGAAAAATCGTCCAATGTAGCATGTCCGATGTCCAAACGTCTTATATGTTTTTTCTATATTTTAGCATGAAAAATTCAAAGTAAAATTATGATTTTACCGTTTCTATTGAATTTTCAACGTTATTATTCACTGACTACATTAACAATAGTATTGCAAAATGTATTGTTTCTAAGCAGTTAAAATAATAATCTGTCGAACTTCAACTTAGATTTTCTCAAAATGGTGGATATGTTACATTGGTCTATTTGAAAAGAGACGCGAGATTTCAGGTTTGAAAACAAGGAAAACTTGACCACAATGGCCAGATTCGAATATTTAATCAAGGCTGAAAGTGAAATAACTTCCTGATATCTTTGGAGAAGTTGTTAAGCAGATAGTTGACCACCTTTCGGCATGAGTCAGTTTCCGGTAGGTCTCAAGTCTGGTCCTGTGGAAGATCCGGAACATGCGTATAAGTGGTCAATTCATGAAACTGATCCTAGGACACCGTGGTTTTGTCTAAACCACTCATAGATGGTTTATCAGAATGAATTCGGATTTGTGACCAGAAAATGGAAGCATCCGTAAAAGTGGTCAATTCATGAAACTGATCCTAGGACTCCGTAGTTTGTTCAAAAACACTGATAGACGTCTCATCCGAATGAATTAGGAGTTCAGAACGGAATATCACATTTTTAGTACCACATAAAGTATACTATAGTTTAACCTGTTAAAAATCCCAAGTAACCAAAAGTTCTGATAAACGGCTATTTGTGGCTTAAGCAGCTTGGTTGGTGGTGGTCTATAGAATTCTAAGCAGCCTTATTTTTAAGTCGTTATAGTTCCGATATCATAATTGAAGAGCATTCTAAACAGCTTCTTGCGGAACTTGAACGGAACTTTTAGAAAATAAATTAAAAAAGGTTTTTGTCCTCTACACCAATTCTATGTCTAGTTCGCACTTTTATGAAAGTTATTTCTAAAGGCAGGTGTTAATGTATATTGATTTATCAGCATTAGTAGTAGAATTAGAGTTGTTTGAAGAATTAAACCCAGTCCTTCAGCGTGAGAGCCCCAGCACGAACCGCTGCGTCATCTAAGATATAATAAAGTGAGCTGTTGTCCCGCCTACTGTTGGAGTTTTCAGTGCCAGCTGACTGACTTGAATACGAAACAAAACACGTTGATGAATTTTAAATTGGTGTTTGCCCGGATGGTATTCCAACGTATTTGTGGCGCAGTGGCTAACGTTCGTAGATCGCATGCCGAATACACGGGTTCGAATCCAGGAAATTACTTTTTAATTATTTTTTTTTATGTTTGGATAGAATGTTGATGCACTGCATAAATATAAGAATTATGATTCATTCGGGCCACTGATCATTTAATATTTACGTACATTAAATTTTGTTACTAATAAAGACTTGTGCGGATTGCTTCATGTGGCTTGAAACTTCTGTAGGAACTTTATGGAACTTGAAAGTTCTGTCGGAACGTTATTTGAACTTTATGAAACTTGAAAGTTCTGTAGGAACTTTATTTGAACTCTATGGAACTTGAAAGTTCGGTCGGGACTTTATTCGAACTTTATGGAACTTGAAAGTTCTGTCGGAACTTTATTTGAACTTTATGGAACTAGGTTCGGTTGGAACTTTATTTGAACTTTACGGAACTTGGAAGTGATTTTAATCGTTGAATGTGGAACTTTTAGTTAATTGGGATGTTTACTATTTAACACGCTAAAAAATGATCAAATTCTCCAATTTTAAGAATTGATTCCTTTAACCCAGTCCCTTCAATATCGAGATTTATATAGGTAATATGGGTTTCCTTGCACCTTTTTAAGCAGATGTTCGATAAATTTGTCTCCCTATTCCCTGCGATTGTAATTCCCATATTTGTGATCGACAAATATTGTTCACGGTGTACATTTCCTTCTACGATGGGACCGTGAACTATAGCTCACGGAAACCATCATAAATTTCCGACAGTCTCTGTAATAACCATATAAAACTAGCCAAATTTAAATTTTGAAAATAAATAATAAGTTTGATAAAAACTCCCAATGAGCATTATAGTATATGTCAGCTCTTGATAATGATAAGGAAACCAAGGCATTCCACTGGAGACATATACAGTAATGACCCGATTTTGCCAGCCCCTTTTTTAAAATTGTTTTCTAATTTTCTACGAAACCCATGGGCTTTTCAGTGGTCTTATTGGACCAAAGTATACCTTAAACACCAATCTTGAAGATGCATGAGAATGATTTGGAATTACGATTTCATGACATTATTTAATGATAAAAGTCTAATGCGCGGAGGGGGTGGGTCGGGTCAAAATCGGGTCATTACTGCACCACATACTAATCTAAAGAATACAGAAAAATAATTGTTGAATATTACACCCAAACAGTCGATTGGTCATTCCGCTTGTTGTGTAGTATTACGCTGTACGATGTAATTAGAATTTGTGAACAAATCATGAATAACGTTGATTGATACATATTTCACAGACAAACAGATATAACTCTCACAAGTTGTTCATCGAACAAGCATTTAATGGTCAATTTAAACGTATCGTAGTTGGTAGTACCGCCACCTGTGGCGCACATAATCAATTCCTTTGCGTCTTACGTTTACACGGTACCGCCATCTGTTCAGCGTACTACCCACCACAATATACTCAACAGATGGCGGTAATGTTCTAGCGACGATGTTTTACAGTGAGAAATATTCAATGTGTTACGTCTGTTGGTCTGTGCATATTGATTGCTTTGTACTCATTAAAGTGATGAGCGGCGGTAGAAAAGGCACTCATTAGTGATCCATTACCACGTTTAAAACTTGTTTCAAGCAAAAAAAGTAGAAGGGTCTGTGCCTAGGGGCACGAACGGAAGCTTGACGTAGGACCGCTAGTGGACGGAACAAATGTGAACATTTAGTTATTTTAATTGATCAATCATCAATTATCTTAACTCTTTCTGTTTTTTATCTGTAAGCGTATCAAATTTGTATTAATTATTTCAAAGAGAAAATTGATGAAGAGAATCCAAGGGACTGTCAACTTGAGTATTTTCGATTCATCTACCCGACTTTAAAAGGTGTATTTTGATTTTTTTGATTTTTATGAATTTTTAAGTTTTGTGCATTTTGGTATTAAAGTGTATTCAATTCACCCCTCGCAGGATTTCCTTCTGAATTATATGAATGGGGCGAGGCGGAAAGTATCGTTTGTGCAGAATATGTAAAAAAGGAGGGACTTCGAGCGATTGAACTCGTGACCGTGAGAGCTAATTTTCTCACAAATTTGATTTTATTGGCTTTCTGGGGACTGAATATACACCCACAGCGAATTATTCCCACTTCGGTCAAATTCTATATGGATTTTTAAAACTTCCTACCAGCGTGTTCTGGAAAATGGTTGGACGATGATTAATCTCACCAATACATTCGGGCCTACAATTCCACACCTTCTATAGAGACTAGGTTGAGCCTTGATAGTTAGTTGTTTGCGGGAACTGATTGACTTGACAAATGTCCAAATAATACTCTTAACAAATTTATGGTGGTCCTGAAAAGGACCGTTTTGTAGTGATAGTTGAGTAATGCTGAGCTGCGCACGACGAGCTACTGATTCCGATCCTAGTCTAGCGGTGGGACTTCTTCCTCCTTCTCTATGGTTGCTCATATAGCTCTGCAGCTCGCCTTTCGTTGTTGTTGTTGTTGTTGAAAGCACTCCTGCTGCTGCTGCTGGACTGGACACCACCACTTACGGTGATTGAATGAGCACCGTTCAGTGGGACAGCATCGAATTCGATTTTTTAAGTCTGTGTTAGGGAATGCGCTGTTTTCAGACATTCGGTGATAATTTTGATCACCATTGCAACAGTTGGACATTTGGTATTTTTCAATAGTGACCTATTCATTCATGTTCATTTTAGCAGATTGGTAGATAAATTTCCAATCGTTTGGCTTGTTTAGAATTAAAATCTATCTGCTATTGGTCGAAACCTGACCTCTTTTCGTAATGCTGTACATTTTGGTTTTTTGAAATTGCGTGGATTCTATAGAACCTGTGGAGATCTATATAGCCCTGATGTATGTGTTGGTAGAGGGAAAAATGTAAACTTTGCGGGAGACGATGTCTTAAACGAAAGAAACGAATCGTGCGGAATGAAAGCCGAGG